ACTCCATTCACCACAACTCTCTGGGCCCGGCCATCCACCCAGTTTTTGACCCAGCGCAGAGTACACCTGTCTAAGCCGTGAGCCGCCAGCTTCTCTAGGAGAATGCTGTGGGAGACAGTGTCAAAGGCCTTACTGAAGTCCAGGTAGACCACATCCACAGACTTTCCCTCATCCACTAGGTGGGTCACCTGGTCATAGAAGGAGATCAGGTTGGTCAAGCAGGACCTGCCTCTCATGAACCAGTGCTGGCTAGGCCTGATCCCCTGGTTGTCCTGCTCATGCTTTGTGAGCGCCAGGTCATGGGACCTTATGTCTTGCTACACAATACAGAGGAAAAAAATAGCAGTACTCATGCAGGAAGAATGGAGTGTTACCTTTCTTCTGCTCTTGGAACAGTTGTAATCAGTCTTCATTAAAAACATGATGCTAAATAGGTGCTAAGGAAAGGGTCTACCTGTAGGTGAAGAGGAGGGAGTCTGTAGGCTGCGTTGTACTATGGGAAAACCAATCTACAGATTGCTTCATGGGTGAGTTTGTTCTTTCCAGCAACAATTGTCTATTCCATGATTTTTACCTTTAAGCTGCTTGAAAGGACAGAGATTTTTGCAATGAATTAATGGCAGGACAATTGTGAGTACAGTGATGCCCTTCCTGGGATAGGGTTAACTGAATTCCTGTGTGAAGAGCACACTGAGAGGGGTCTCTGGCGTGGCATGGCTTTGAGTCCATTCCCCCTGTTCCACACGGGGCCTTATTCCTGAAGAGAGAATTTCTCATTCCATCAGAAGAAAAGACACTTTGATTTAACTTCCCCTTCTGTCAGCTTTCATTTAGAAAAAGGAATATAGCCTCACTCACTAAAGAAGCACCAAGACTTACAGTATTTCAGTAAAGCATATTTTTTTTAGATTTCAAAACTCAATTTGAAATAGTAGTTTGTGTTTTAGTAATGGCAGTTGTTACATTAACAGCAATGCTATCATAGTGTGAACTGTTGTGTTATTCAGTACTTTACTCTTACAGATTTTAGCCTGTGAGGAGACTTACTGTGTGATGTAATTGTTGCATGGGTGTGTTTATCTATACTGTTGGAGAGGTGTACTTAGTGTTCTTGACTTTTGGGCTCTCCCTACCTGACCTCATCTTCTAGGTCACGTCCCTCCTTCCCCACCTTCTCTTGTCATGTTGCTAGACCAACAGCCAGTATCTTGATGTCACACTTAAAATTACTACAGTGTCCTCTTTGGTCTGCTTTCTAACTGAGGACTAAATACCTTCCCAGTGGAATGTTGAATATATATTTCCCGAGTTCCTGCTGTTTAGAAAGCTGACAGAGGGATAGAGGTTGTCTCTCAAGTGCAGCACGTGGTGAGGATAAAGATGACTTTTTGCCATGCTTTTCACCTAGTACTATGGACTTTTCATCAAGACCTGCTCATTGGTTCCCATTCGTGGTACTTTTAGCAATGACTGAAGTGGGCAACACTAGTGCAAATGTTGCACATTGGCTGTTAAAATTTTGTGCACCTATATTATTAGAGAATATTTATAAGTATTTAAATGACTTATCTTCGAATGAAGAAAAAGGAGGGGAGGGGGGTGATTCTTATACCAGTGATAGTTGCTTCCCAGGAGAACTTGTCATAACAACATTATCGAGGTTTGCAGGTGCAAGGCAATGAGTACAACAGCATGGGAACAATAAAAGGAACAATGCTGACATGGAGGCTCTGGAAAATGCTGCCACAGCAGCTTGGGTAAAAGGATACAGAGCTGCAAAGAACAGGCTTTAAGCATTATTAAGGCTAAAACAATAGGCTACCTAAAGCATTATGCAGCATGGTACTTGTGAGGAGTCTGAAGGTAGTGCAGAAAACACCTCTGACTAGACTACTTCTGACAATATATATAATATATATATACACATTTTTTTTAATTTGTAGTAGCTGTTGATGGCTACTCAGGGCAAAGTAATGGTACATTACTCCTGTTTGAGTATTCAAATTGCAAGCAAGGTACTGCTGGAAGTTGGCTTGATAAAAGTAATTGCCCTGAGCATTAAGAAAATGATTCTTCCACATCTGAGCAAAAGAACTTTTTTAAATTAATATATTGTAGATACTCAGGTTGGACTCGGATCCAGATTAAGTCACCTACTATGTCAGTGGTCACGTAAGTGTTGGTACCCAGACTCTCACCACAGTACATGGGACTAGTTAGTGGAGGCTAGAGACCACTGCAGCTTACTGAGAAGTAGAGGCTGGTAGGCTGCATTGCTCTGTCTGTCCCCCTGATTGCACCGACTAAATCCACGTGGACTATTATGGGAGGATGAACTCCTACCACGCCTGTAGCAACCTACATTTAGTGTATTGATGTGGAATGATGTCCCACCTTGGTGCTTATAGTTGATGAATAAAATTCATACTTCATAAGAATTATAAAGTGACAAGCTAAAAACTGTGGTTAGACTTCTTTTCTGATAACCTGGGAATATATTAAACCTCAGTACACCTGTTATTAAACAATATACTATAGTAGTGTCCTGCAGTAATATACTGGCCAGATGAAGCGTTGTAATGGGGAGTGATGAAATAAACAGTGTAGCTGAAGTCAACTAATCTTGAACTGATGAGGGAGGTTTCTGTGAGAAAATGAGGCTATGTTCCGATCTCCGATACACGAGATTTATAGAAGCCCTTAGTTTTAATCGTATGTTCTGAAGGATATATTGTTTAACAGTGTTTCCTTTTATCACTATTAAGTGGTGTCTTAAGTTTTGTAATAACACAGCAGCAATTCTACATGTCTTGGCAATCAGGACTACTCGGTCTGACTTTGATTCATTAAAAAATAGACATATTTCTTATTAGCCTTTAAGCCATGCTGTGTCAAACTTCAGCTGTTCTTCAGTTGAAAGTTACATGGACAAACAAGTATTTCACCTATCCTTATATCTTTCTATTTTTGTATCTCTCTGAGATCATGAGTATAACTGAAGAAGGCTTCAGTAACCCAGAGGATTTACAAGGTTCTGAGTGCTCAGAGTTTGCTATATTTTTTTTTTTTAAAACATCCCTTCCAAGATGATTATTTAATACTTCCAGCATTCCGATAAAATTTTTTAAAATAACGGCCTGGAGACATAAGTGATGCAGTGAATGCTACTATTCTTCAGTAGACTGAACATAGTGTAAATTTCCTTACTTGCATTTTGTTATACGATAGAAGTTTTGTTAATTCTAGTATGTGTACATTTTACTAAACTAGCCTTATTTATCAAACTCAGATGTCCTTGGAGCAAAGTTTTCTACCAGTCCTAACAGTTTCAGAAGCTTCAGAAATAATATGACACATAAAGTGCATATTCAATGACTGTAAAGATCAGATGCTAAAGGTGGCTACAATGTAGCTTTTATTAAATATTTTTTACTTTTAGTCTATTAAGCCCTCACCCCCAACACTTCCAGTATGGTTTGGCAGAAAATGACTTAAAATTGAATGGAAATTGTCATGTGAGGTGTTGTGTTAGTCTAAAAATCTTGACATTTTTGCTTAAGGAGAATTTAAAAACTTGCTGTAAGTGAAGGCAAGATTATTGTGGTTTTTTTTTTTTTTAATTTATAATATATAATACATCCCATCTGCCATTTTTGGGATTCTTAACAAATAAAGTCTTCAAACAAAAAAATCTTTATCTAGATGTATATATTATTTCAGATACACTAGCATCTGGTCCCAAATTTATATCAGGTAACGATCACTCCTTTCATATCTAACTTGCTTCTGCATGTCTGCTATGCTTGGTCATTGATTATGTTGGGAATCCCAAGGCAGTGGATTAGCTCAGCTTTGGGTGAAGCAGTCAGTCTTCTGCTGCCCTGATGCATCTATATAATTTCCTCCAAAAAATTTTTTTAAAGCCTTGTAATTGTCAGTGCGGTTTCTCTTGAATTACAGCTCCGTTCATGTCAGTATATGGCACCTTGTCTCGTTCAGAATAGGGTCTTTCTGTTTTATTTTTATATTAAAAATTTGCGGTGTTGGGAAGAAACCCAGGTGTGTGACAGCTAGTGCTAGTTACTTTAGTTAGTAAGTATGAAGGATCAGGAATATTTCTAGACTTTTTCTTCCCTTTTTTAAAAGCTACTTTAAGAAGAATAACACTTCGCCTGCTGAATTTGCAGTTCTTGCTTCCTGAATTCACTTCTCTCCCTCTCCTCTTCTGAAAAATGGGAGCGTAGATGAATCTAGAAACTTCATTTTCAAAGGCTCAGCTTCCCTAAGTCTTTATTTTCCTTGGCATGAGGAGCTTTCAAGTCGGCTCAGTATGAGGCAGAATGACTTCCTTCTGCAGTGTAGTGGAAATCATGGCAAGCTGCTCGTGGTGTTCTTGGCTGTCTCTGCTGATAAAATAAATCTTTTAAAAACATTTTTCTTTGAAGCTACCCAAGCTGCTTGCTTGCTGAGGCAAGAAACCTATGTAAACAGGCAAGTTGTCAAATGTGGTGAGTAATTACACCAGTACTTCCTTGGAGATAATAAACAGTGGGAAATACTAATGACGAGGAGGTAGGAAAGGAAGGTCTCTTCCCTGGGCTAACTGAATCACTAACTAGGTGGAAGTTTGGAGATTCTTCTCCCACATGCAGAATACGTGGCCAAAGAGTCACGGGACCAAGTACTACTTACTGTCTCATGGATCATCAAACCTGATACACGGTTGAGGACGTTCCCTATCTGGCCATGTGGAAAGAATATTTTTTGTGGATATAGTAGCTGGCCAAAACAGTGCTTAGGGTTATGGATGTTGTGTCCATTAAAAGGTTTTTGCTCAGAAGCAAATATAAAATGTCCAGAATTGTAGTTTTACCTGCTGTAATGATAATCAGTCTTTCAGAAGGCGGGGGGGGAGTGACAGCTAACTCTGGAAAATTTTTACCTGCTGTAATGATAATTATTCTTGTAGAAGGCGGGGGGGGGAGTGACAGCTAACTCTGGAAAATAGCTGTGGGTTGCTTTAAGTGGGAATACCTGCAAACTGTTCTGAGAAGTGAAAAGAAGACTTAAAAAAAAAAAACAAACAACTTTTTGTCAGAGCTGCTTTTTTTTTTAAACACTTTAAAATTGAACCGTGTCAAAATTTTTAGTTCCAACAACTGTGCTGTGTCACGATTTTTAATATTCAAACGTTGGAAGTTTGAGCCTTTTGGTATGGCAGGCAGGATTAGGCCAGTGGAATATCAGAACCCATAGTTTCAATCTTACAAACTGACTAATGATTTTCTTTAGAATAATACTCTCCTGAGCTGAACATCAGTTGCCACGTTTATTTTTTTTTTTTACTACATGTAATGGTAGACTGAGGTTTGACCAGTAGAGGGCAATAGGTACGTGCATGCATAGGTACAATGCTCAATAATTTGTGCTGGAATCACTTGGGTGTTTTTTGTTCAGGGCTTTCGTTTTGTTTTTTCCAGTGGTGGTGATGAGGGCAGACTTTTGGACTCCGCTGTCCACAGGAAGCAGTGCAGCATTGTTTCGTTAGAGTTCTCTGGACTTCTCTCCTTCCGTTCTTGCCCTCCCCAACTTGTTTCCTCTTCAGTATAGGTGACATTACAAATCCTCAGAGACTTAACTATCTGGAGGATTATTAAAGATTTCTTGAACTGCAAAGAGTTAAGCAAATCCTAGACAAAGACACTTGAAATGTCTTGATTTGGAACAAATCTAGGATTCAAATATTGTTTGACAGACTTTCTTCAGACTTTTCTTGTCCTTAGAACTGCTAATTTTCAGCTTGAAATAGACTTCTCAAGATAGCGTATGGACAAAAATGATGGATATAACTATCTCGTAACTACTAGTGACATGTATTATCAGGCTTTCAAGAAGTAACAATTATCTGAAGAGTACATTTTAGTCCTAATGATTTTATTCCTTGCTGATCTTATGCACTGCCTTGCCTCACAGCTCTCCGGGTTTCCTTTTCAGTCTGAAACTCAGAATAGCGGTGCAGCAGCCAGTCAAGAGCATACTCCGCCTGTGTCCACTAACACGTCTATGAGTCCTCGGCAGCGCCGTGCCCAGCAGCAGAGTCAGAGGCGGGCTCCGTCTTCGACTGACTTTAATCGGGTACAGCAGCCAAGAGTCAACATGAACCACACTGGATCAACTGTTCTGATTGTCCTTCTGACTTTTGCATTGGCAGCTCTCATATTTCGTAGAATATGTTTGGCTAATGAGTATATATTTGAGTTATAAGGTTGTTTCTGTTGTAACAGCAGTGACTTGAATGTTTCATTGAACATTCTGTATTGGGTATGACATGAGAACTGTTTACAAAGGTTACTTTTTGTACTTGCGCTTAAGTCCTTATGAATGTTAATGTACCTACAGATACATTACTTGTAAGAAAAGCAAAGTTGGACATTTAACTACCAAAAGTGTTAATTGAGTGCCCACTAGATACTTGGAGAAACACTGCAGTGGAATAGTAACGTTAAGGCATGTGGGAGGGGAGTCAATCTGAGTAATTTATCAACTAGAAAAAGACAATTTAAAAAAAGTGGTTGATTCACTTTTTTGTGGAACATAAATGCAATTAATAACCCCATCTAAGTTAGTATAAGATTTGACATTGGAGAAGGAATTCTAAAATGAAACACTGCTATGTGTTTGTGTCCAGTGAACTCTTAATTTAGAGAGGATACAGTTTTGTAACCACTTCTGTTTACCACCACACATTTCTAGAGGGGGAGCACATACAAATTGGTTGTGATGCTGCTTTGTGCGTGTGAAAGGGAGAAGGGAGTAGGGGAGGAAAGAAGGGGCCAGAAAACTACTTGCATTATTTTGATTTTTATTTTTTGGAAGAAAGATTGGATAATCTTTTGCAAGATTTGAATGTCCTCTTCTAATACTCTCAATTGTATATCTTGGTTTTTTTAAATTTGAAGATTATATAAAACATGTCTATTCTTGCAATAGTTATAAATATGTAATATAATTATTTACCCAGAGCTATTGTCTTTTAATTATACCAGAAATATACATGTGTTGAACTGAATGTTTCATATGTGGTTTTATTTACTAAAGAAAATTTAAACCTTATTAGACTTAAGCATGTTCATATATATGAGAGTTTAAGAGAAATATTTATTAAAACCTTGAAAATAATAAAGAGTTTCAAGCCAGTCTTCGCTTACAGTTCAAGTATGACGTGGCCTTTTGGGGTTTTTTTGTTTCCTTTTTTAAAACCTAAAATCAATATTGGACCCAGAGGCTTTCTGCATTATGAGTTTATTAAAAAAATAAACAACTGGCAATGTTCACGAATGCTGTGAAATCACATATACAGGCAATAGACCTACAATTGCTAGGGTTTTGAGAGGTTTTGTCTGTGAATGTTTAAGTATTGCAGTGAAGGTAGAAGAAAGCAATCAGTGGGATAATTTTCCTCCTGTATTATTGATCAGATTTAAATGTATTCTAGCATGTTTATTTCAAAGACAATGAAATTTAGGTAACTTCCATTTTGTTGCTGTTGAACATGATAGCACTGACTTAACTGAGATTCTTATCCTGTTTCTCAGCAAGTATTTATCAAGCTACCTACAGCTTTCCTAAATTTTGTTAAATATAGTATGTATTAGTGTTCTGAAACATTAAAGAAGCTATAAAAACTTCTAAAATAAGGAAAGCCCGATGTGTGTCTAAGGGGGATGTGGAAATTCAAAAAAACAAAACAACACCCCCACCCCCCCAAACAAACCCAAAATCTGAGTTCTTTTTTAGCACTTCTTATGCATTGTTGATAATCTTGTTTGCAGGGACAATGGAACAAAGATCAAAAAATAGTTTTCTTAAGAAGTTCAGACAAACGTAGTTTTTTCAGCCAGTTCAGCAGTTACTTACACATTCTGCTGCAGAACAATTTGATGTTGATATATTAATTGATGTGTTTTTCTATCTAATTTGTATATTTATTTCATTAGAAATTAGGAAAAAAACTCAAAACCACAAAAGCCAAAAAACCCCTCTACAGATCCTGTGTTTCCTAGCTGGTATGTTGCTTGAATACCTGTTCTATTCAAGTATCGCAAACCTGGGCTCACAGAAGAGTTCTGGAAGAGAGGTCTGGCCCAAAAGGCAGTTTCGCTGGGTTTTGACCCGCTTGCTCCTCTGGAAGCTTTGCTCTGAATGTGCTTTGCTTTTCCTAGAGACTCGCTGCTGGGCCGAGCAAACTTTTGCTCTCGTACCTGTACCACACACTGGTTATGAGTAAAGCAGCTAAGTCTTCTGCAAAGAGGCAGTCTACATTGCCCTTTGAGTGGGCTATGAGAAAATAAGCTTCAAATGGTTTCTGGAAACAGCCTCTTCCTTGTGATTAAAGAAATAGCTGCTCTGTAGCTTTTTATTTCAAGCTTTTTTTTAAATAAAAGTTAAAATGCCTGATTGTGCAAATACCTATTTGAAAAAATAAATACTAATGGTGACTTGATTTATGTAAAGAGTCTATTGCATGTATAGATACTTCAGGGGTTACTGTGTTTTAATTTTTCTTTAAAAGTTAACAGTAAATAAAATCATTTTCAGAGGAAATAGCTCATCTTTTATCTTCAACAGACTAAATTGGAAAATGAAATCTCAACTGCTATAAAACCATCAAAATATGTGCATTTTACAATGATATACATGTCTGAAACGTGGCACAGGCGGTTTCCAGTTGAAACGATGCCATGCGAAGGAACAGAAAATCTGGAAAGCCTCATGAAAAGGGACAGCCTGGTTTTCTACAGTCTGGCAGGAGGATAGCACTGTCCTGAGATTAGGGGACTGAGCAAAAAGCCGGCGTGCAGAATTGCAGTTTTTTTATATAATGGCTTTAGTGCATATCCTTTAGGACCCAGTGGAAATGTTTGGTGAGGCAAACTTCATGAGTAATGGCCAATCATTAAGCGGTGATGAGGGAAAAGCTTTGAGAAGCCCCTGAAAGCCTGTCAAAAACATCATGTCGGGAAAGCAGCGTTTCTACCACTGATTGCCGATGAACACGCAACGCCGGAATTAGAGTTGATTCAATGTTTAAACCTGGGGGGACTTGTACTACAGGAGGTTACTGGAGTGCAGAGTGCCCGGCTCCGATTTCCAGCAAGATGCCTTGTTTTGCAAAAGTCCTTTTATTAATCTTTTGCTTAGTTCTTCTTGTGGAAAGCAGAAGGCACAGGAGGAGGAGGTGGACAAGCCAGCTGGAGGTGCAGAGGGCAAGGTAAGTGTTTTTAAAACACACAGGTTTCTCTTCCTGTAGTGTTATAAATGCATTACTACACAGACATAAAAATCTGCCCTGTCGCTGTCTTTGTGTATATTGTATGTGCAAACAGTTTTATAGATGATGTTTTTTGAGTAGTGTCTGATACTACATTCAGTTTTAACTGTAAATGGACACGTTTAATGATCATTAACTCTTAATGAGGCAGGTTTTGCAGGTAGTTGTTTTTGCAGTAGTTTTGAAGTTGACCACTTCAGCTTGGTAAAAATATTCTTAGCCCTATATGTGAATTACAGAGAGAATTCAGAGAAGTTGCAATTAATAGAGATGTTCAAATCTGCATGTTGTTCCAGCACTGTTTCAAGAGCAGGTTATTTACCCTGCTTGCTGGAATGTCTGTGCTACTTATATTCACGTGAAATTGCATGCTATTTTCTAACAATTTGAGCTGGGGATCTTGGTTAGCGTGTGTGGTGTTAATTAATAATAACATAAATCCCTGGAAGTTACCCAGGGATTGCAAAATTAAAAAAAATATTTTGAAGAAATCCCTGAGAACTTTACAAAAATACATATTTTTGTAAGTCAAGCAAAGGCTCAAGAAAGAGTTAAAGGTCTTAGTAAAGTTTATTAGATTTACTGTTGCTGAGATTTGACCAGAGGTTTACATTAGAAAAGATAATCTTCCAAACCTGTCAGACAGTCCAGAGTATGTTATCCTTTTTTGTGGTTGTGTCATCCAGTGGCAATTATATCTTACAAGATTGTTCATTGTTTGAAGGGCTCAAAAATAAAATTGGGTTAATCCATCTTATTAAGTGGCTTCACTATGGCTGTAAACCTTCATCTTTTCATTTATTTTGTTGGGTTTTTTGGTTTAACAGTCAATGCTTTTATTTTATAGGGAGTTTTGTTACTTGACCATTTTACAAAGAAATGTTGCAATATAATAGAGAGCAAAGAATACCTAATATGCTCTCAGATTTATACTACTTATTGAAAAATACAGTAGCATATGCTTTTAGTGACATAAGTGTTATAAAGCTGAAACAGCTGGGGCCTGAGCCTGAAATCTTAAAGCCAACTGAAGTTTTGCCACTGATTTCCACAGAATCTCCATTATTGAATGAGATCTTTCATTTAACTCTGAAAATTTTTCCAAGTCTATGTTCTGGGAAATAAGGGGGATTCAACAGTAGCATTTTCTTATTGCAAAATAATTTACAAAATTTGCAAATATTGCAAAAATAATTTACAATTTCTACAGTGCCATTGTTTTTGTGAAGTTGTGGTAGAGTGGAAATTAAAGCACTGCTAAAATTATTTATATAGATGAATTTACTGTAAAGAATGACTGATACAATTTGGTTTCCTGTAAAATAATGATTTTAATGAAGGTTTTCCAGACAGGTTTTTCTGTTACGTAGAAAAAAATACAGTTGTCTCTAAACCAGCAATGAATAGTGGACTCTTCTCGTAAAAGGAAATTAAAACCAGTTCCTATGCTGGTTTTCTAATCATGTAAGAGAAATGAAAACAGTGTGCTTTTTAATAACTGCATCACATTTTCTGCTTAGCGTTTCTCTTGCTGACTTACCATAAGAAATACAGTAAATGTATTTTACAGTAAACATATTGGCCAAGAAAATAGATTCCTATGTTTGGGAATCTACATTTGATAAGTTTGGTATTTTGCATCCTTTAGGGTGATACATCAACCTGATCTAAAGATCTTTATATTGATTTCAAGAAGCTAGCTTGGGTTGTGCAAGTGCAGAACACCTTCAGTTCTGTAGTTCATTACCTGAACGTTGTATAGAGGTTCTTACCCGCGGCGCTCTGCGGGCTTGGGGTAACTGGTCCTGCAGGCGCCGAGACAGCTGTCTGCCAAGTGTACACAGAGAAGTTGTTGAGCCTGTGCCTTCATGGGAAAGGAATATGGTAAAGCCAGGTTAGGGCTGTGGAGGTAGGAACCCAAATTAAGAGATGCCAGGTTAAGGGCTGCCTGTGCATCCTTAATTGCTCCCCTTGTTTTACGTTAATACTGAACTGTAATGTATTATTTTTTCTATGAGTGGTACCTCACTCAGCGTGCTGAATGGGTAACGCTTAATTAGAAACTGTGTCGCGTTTCATTTTCTCTTACTCCCGCACCCGCCACCTCGCTGATAATGAAACTCTTCTACAAAACAGAGGTATGACTTAAAGAAGCAACTGCCTCTGTGCAGCATTGCTGTGACCATTGCCTGGAGCAGCTTCATGTTACGCTCTGGAGAGCCCGGGCTTTGCGTAGGAAATTGGTGTGTGCTCATTGAGTAGCAGCTCCTGGCTTTTGTACTTTTTACATTTTCCAGGGATACGGTCCCTGTCTCTTCTCTTACAAAACTGGGTGAAGGGATTCAGTGACACCTATCTGTATGAAGCTGAGAGCCTTTTTGCTGATGTACAAGCTGGCGAATGGTACACAAAACGAAGGGCTCATAACTAACAGAAGATTTGTTGGTTAAAAAATTTTGCATTTCATTCTGTTTTAGAGAAATCAAGTGATAAGCAAACTGCAAAGTAAAACCTGTCAGAGTCACCTGAGTGACTGCTGGGCAGGGGATGTTGGCCCCAGCGTTACCTACACACCAGGGAATAAATTTCCAGAGAGGAGGTAAAGACTTTGGTGCTGAAGTGTAAGTGTGGAAAGGTGCAGGTGTATGTGTCGGATGGGCCATGGTCTGTGCTGCCGTGTTGCTAGCCAGGATTTTCCAGGGAGCTGTGTACTGCTGCCAGGGCATGTCAGGCTTGCTATGTGTAGTACTGACTGTACAGTGCATGTGTATGTGTGCTTGTAGCTTCCTTGGAGCATCAGCCTTACTGTAAGTGCCAAGGAAGTGCTATTGGCACGTCCTACACTGGATTGGAAACAGTTCGGGGTACTCTTCAGTAGCTCTGTGGTGGCTGCATCTCAGGAATCGCAAACAAATGCCGGCAGTCCTCCTAGACTATCCATCTGGACAGAATTTCCACACAGAAAAAAATAAACTGAAAAATAGTGCTTTTAATATTTATTGCTCTATAAAAATTGCTGATAATGCTTCTGGTAATGTTTATTGCTCTGCAAAAATTGTCCTAGAAGAGAGGGCTCAGGAGACATTTGCCATCTCGATTGTGCCTGTGAATGCTGTGTTTCCAATGGCCTCTGCACTGGACACACAGGCACGGTCTGGCTCCGAGTCTGCTTATTCCTCTCTCCTAACGGTTGTGCAAAGCCTCATGCTTCAACCAGCAGAAACACTGCACTTTTGAAATAGAAGTGGCTTTGAGCTTCTGTTAGCTAAAGACTTCCTGCCAAGGTTTTTGGAAGTGGTCAGTGATTGGGAGTATCTCATCAGAGATGTACTTTTCAGGATATGCTACATGCCAGCCTTAGGTTGGGACCCAGAAGCAGAAGTAGAGCATCAGGGCGTGGCAGCGTGGAACTCAGCACACAGACTGTTTTTCCAAACAGCGCTCCACTGGGGCAAGTAGTCTGCTGATCCCTGCTGAAACGGCTGCTGCTGGCAGGCGTGCTCCCTCCGTTGCCTCGCAGGGCTGCATTTTTTTCCCCAAACTTTCGACCAGGCGCAGCAGACAAGCCTTCTGGGCTGTGATACCTCCCAGCCTCTACTGATCCCCTCTGCTCTCTGGTGATTTCTCAGAAAATGCAATATTTGTAAGTGGCTTAATGGTTAAAATGTTGATAACCATTTTTTTCAGGTGTGTTGCTTGCCTGGGGTTCAAGTCCAGGGCATTGCACAACCTCTAGTTGTGTGAGGTTTGATGTCTCCTGAGATTTTTTCACCAACACTGCAGCATCACAGCAGGGCCAAATAGCAATGTGAAACAAAAGCAGGGAGAGACGTGTGCACACAAATGGCAACAACAGATCTGAGAAGCAAACCTCATGCCTTATCTTGGCTGTGTGCTCCAGCTGTGGCTCATGTTTGCAGTTGTGACCTCTCTGCTGTTGCTAATGTTGCCGCCTCTGACTGTGCTGCAGCTGTGTAGTTGCCTGCGTAGGCTGTGAGGTGTTTAGAGCCTCAGCGCTGCTTCCTCACCAGCCTGCGTGCATTCAGTGCTGTCTCCCCAACATTCGTGCCTCCTGCCTCTTCAGCAGAACGGTGGCTTCTGTCTCCCTCGGCTAGACCCATTATCCCCCATCGCCATCATTTGGCTCTGCAGTGTTCATTGCCCAAGCA